ACTTAATACAATGCAAAGTGGTGGAATGAAAGTGCCTACACAGATATACGGGATGTGTAATCTGTAGTGTGCTCAGAGCATGACTGATGCATTTTCTTCAATTCCAATATAGGGTTCATTTAGCTCCAAACGTATTGATATGTTCTTAGAGGGGCGCAAAATGAACAGTGTTATAATAGTTCAATGGCTGTGCATGGCTGAACGTCAACGAAACGGAGTTAAGTCTTTTGTGATCTCCGTTTTTTTGCTACGGCATGCAGCCAGTGAAAACGAATTCGTTTAATCCAATAATGGAAATTCAAGCATTACTTTAAAAAACAGAACTTTGTTATTCCCTGCACATTTTTCCTGATTGAGGTGTCATATGAAAGACAGAAAATGAACTTTCTAGAAATGTGATTTCCTCTTTGAAATTCAAATACCGCCCTAAAAATGACTTTTGGTACTCTCTCTTCAAATTGTTTTTAATCACTAATGCGTGAAATATGCATCATATGAGTTGCATCAACCGACAGAGGAGGATCTAAGCCTTACAAATATGTATATTTATTCATTATAATTGTGATTAAATTATGATAAAACATCGATAATTCTCGGCTTCTTTTTTTCTGGAACGCACTGTATATGAATATTTATTGAAAAAAGAACATATTTACATGTATAATTCGTGTGTTCATTATAAGTTTTGGTTGGTATTTTGTAGACAGACAATAGTGCACTTAGAAACAACCGTATTACGCGCCTATAAATTTTGTGTATTATTATCATTTGATATGTATTGCTTTCCAATTTTCGAAAATGGTACTAGGGAGACCTAATTTCCCAAGCGTGGTATTTTTCCACTCCGCCTGTCTGGCTTTGCAAACATGTTCAAACCGGTTTTGTCTGGTTTGTTAATATATTCAATTGTAACATACATTGCCCATTATTACGTCCAGCGCGTATTAATTAATTATTGTTATTAATTTATTATGCGAAGTTCAACCAATCACGCTGATGTGGTGATTGGGCCACCAGGCTCTTCTAGCTACATGGGAACCAGGGAGATTGTGTTTGTATAGAGAGTTAACAACTAAATTATTCATACCCTTACCAAGTTGTGTAAATGTTTAAGTATTCAAACAAAAATCATTTGTTCCGATGCCTGTTTCTTGAGGATGTGACATATTAAAGGAATAGTTGAGTTCATGTTTAAGACCGCAAATGCCTTCAAAGTGCATGGTTATTGCTCTTAATCTTATTCATGACATGTCTAGTGCTCTTTTAGAACCTACAATTGCTATGAAGGTAATTTTAGACCCCAAAATGTGTATTTTTTTGGTAAAAAATACGATCATACGAATTCAGCTCCACTTTCCAAACAATACGATGACAGTTAGTTAATTAATTATTATTAATTACAATACACGGGCCAGCTGGTTGTGCGTATTATAACCAACACGAACAAGCCAACATAAAGCCCATATTGGCATTGGCTGGAATAAAACGTATCAGGCGCTATCTCGTTTTTTCAACGGCTGGTTCAAAATTATCGAATATTTGTGGGGCCCCACAAATATTAGAAATGGTTATATTGATGGATATTCAAGCCGCCTCTCAACCGATTTTGATCAAAGAAAGATGATTTTTTCATTTAAATTGTATATTCTTTCAAATTTAACACTCAGTTTTTCATTATGTCACACAAAATATTTTGTGTAGCGCCTTCTGCAACAAAACTCAATTTTCCCTTTAAAGCTTACACTCAAACGTATTCAGCAAAGTTCCTTATTCAACCAGTCCACCTTTCATTCTTGACATAGGAAAACACAAAACACATCAAATTTAAAAGGGGTATGAATATTTCAGTTGTTAATTGTAGGTACACAGAGACTGTAACTGCGCTATTGTATATTGTTTGTGCCTGTTTAATATTTAATCTAAAGGTAACTCGATTGACTTTGCTTGCTGCTCGTCTTGCTATTCGCGAGTTTCATAATTTTACTCTTTTTACATCGTTATTTTGAGAGGCTTGTCCATCGTCTTCATAGATGTGATTTTTTGACTCCGTTCAGTAAAATAGAGCAATCTATTGATTTCTCATTGTGCATCATAGTTTTGACAAATTTAAGTTCCAACGGCAATTTTTATCCCACATCGATTGACTCGATATTTTTTCGTCATCTTGCCGTATTTTCACATCTGTCTCTTCAATGGTCGACCATCGTCATCGTCGTCCGTTGTGTCGTGCTGACTTGTTAAATATCTTCATCGTCATCGTTGTCGTCACGTTTTGTTTGAGTCATCATCGTCATCGCGAAGTAACTAATTATTTTTTTCACGCGTTCATCGTGAGCGATTTGATTTCTTCACACATCGCTTTCGAACTGATTGTTTTGTCATCGTGGACATTGTCCATTGACCGCCTGATCATCCACATCATCACTATCATCGTCTATTGACCGCGTCCCTGATATCATCATCACCCATATCATCGCGGTCATCATTATCATCAAGGATATCATCACTGACTGATCATCGCCTTCAACATCGTCTTCGTCGTCGGCAACATCCTTTCTTACCTTGCCGTGGATGATGATTTGGTTTGATATATTTATCTTGAACTCTTTCTCGATTATTGTTTGATGATCCTTTTTGCGCTCGTTATTTGCTGATTGCTGATTATATTTATCTATTCACTTGATCGTGACAGTGATTACTCTCTACATATGGGTTTCGTACTCCCTTTTAACGCGTTTACCACGTTTATTAACGTATTACTCTGTGTAACACACAGGAGATTAATTGCTCCCGTTTTGATTCAAATGATTCAAATGATTTTATTTCTCATGCAAAACATAATACAAGAATAATTATATCACAACAAATATGCAATGAAACGATAAATATAATGAAAATAGCACGAGAAAAGAGGAACTATCCAGTGATCACTGTTATTTTTGTGTTGATAATCGACGCCTTGTCCGCTCCCTTTGACATCAAATGTACATTGTGTGTATTTTTGTGCGCCTAAACAATTATATGAACCTCGATTATTTGTTTTGATTATATATATATATATATATATATATATATATTCCATTGTACATTCGTATTGTTTGAAAGTGGGATTTTTTACGGTAGATCAAAAACTTTAATAAAAGGTAGACCAAGGGGTAACAAACGGAGTGCTTTAAATTGTGATAGATGCGTGAATTTATCTCAGATACTAATTGGAACAGAGTTTGGTTATTTCTCTTTTTAGCATTTAAGCTATGGTCACAACTCAGAGCGGCGACCAACCGATTCGTAGCCTGCTCGGTCACCGCTGGAATTTAGGCACCGCCCAACGCTTTTTTGAGAAGTCGGGCAAGCTGTAGAGCTCCAGTGATGCCTGGGCTGTCCCCTGTCAATTTCCCGTCGGTCGCCGGTCAATTTTAGGTCAACAGTGGGCGAAATCGGGGAGCTTCTCCGCGCGGCGTCCCGGCAGTGACCGACTGATGTCCAACCGATTCCCGGGAGGCCTCCCATCGGCCACTGGCTGAATTTAAAGAAATTGTCCTAGCAACTTCGACTTTTGCCCTAAACCGCTCAACGACGAACGCTCGATTTGGTTGGTGCCCGGGCGGCGACAGCCCGGGCACCGAACGAATTTTGGGTGGCGAGTGAAAAGAGAGAAGGCGCCGCCCGAATTTTAACTCCGTGCTAGAATTTGGCGGCGACCCAGCCCGTTTTCCGATGCCCTAAAATCAAGCGGTGCCCGGGCGGCCAACGCTCGGTGTCCAAGCGGAATTGGTCAAAAACTCGCCGCCCGGCCGCCGAGCAGGTCACTTTTTGGTTGTGACCATAGATGATCGCATTCATATAGCAAGATACCCAACTGGGGAGTTCCTACAATTGGTTTGATTTTTTTTTGCAAGGATAATGAATTCAAACGGCTGAAGAATTATTCCGAAGGTTCACCATTGGAATGGTTCCAAAGTTATCTGTCTAATAGAACACAATTTGTAAAATATAATGAATCTGACTCTGAATTGCTATTAATTAAGCAAGGTGTTCCTCAAGGTAGTATCTTGGGCCCGTTATTATTTTTGCTCTTCATAAATGACATTGTTGAGTCTTCAAGGAAATTACATTATGTACTGTATGCCGATGACACAAACATCTTCTATTCTGGTAAAAGTTTGAAAGACTTAATTTTCGAAGCCAATGTTGAACTTCAAAAGGTTGCTACCTGGTTTTCAGCAGATAAACTAAAAATTAATCAGACCAAAACAAAGTTCATGATATTTAACTTTGGCAAAAAGAATGATACTTTAATTGAAAATGTTAATCTGACAATAGATGGTAACTGTATTGACCAGGTACAATTTGCAAATTTTTTAGGAGTTGCCATTGACAACAAACTTACATGGGCAAAACACATTGAATTAATTTCCAGGAAGATTCGGTCCCAAGTCGGTGTAATGAATAAGCTCAAAAGTGTTCTACCATCCTCTACCATGCTTTCTCTATACTATACCCTCATATATCCTTACCTAACGTTGTGGATGATGATGATGATGATGACCATTAAATTGCATGTTCTTCGTCTAAATTTAGATGACTCATTTGAAGAATTTTTGGCACGGATTACAAATTCGAACGAGAGGAAATAGAATTGGATGACCGATCAATAAATTTTTCCTTAATTAAATTAACATGACTCATTAGAAGAGCTTGTTGCATGCACACCGAACTTGAACGAACGAAAATGAAATCAAATGACCCTTTGTCGTAGCGATCACAACAATCGTGAATTTAAAACCATTGCAAAAAATAAAATGAGCGGGAAAACCTATATTAATCAAACAAGTACTAATGAATGCAGGCATATTAATCTCTGCAAGATGAAGCTTGCCAATAAGACCATTCTTTTTCGCCGTTTTGTCTCCTAGGCCTAGCTATGATTAAGATAGTAGCTCCTGCATTCTAACCTCAATCGCTTTGTCTAAACTTGTTCAAACTACAGATGGAAATCTATCATTCTTTGTTCGTTTTCCTCGTTGTATTCGGCCAATACTTCTCTTTCACTGAACAAGGTAAGTACAACATCCCACGTTTCCGTTAGTTATTCAAATATTATCAAGACGTCCCTTTTTTGTCCTTGTCATATTCTTATGCTGAAAATAGAAACAAATTCGTAGTTAACTTCCATTCCGGGGTAGGAGAAGCAGTGGTGGATCCAGGGGGGGGGGGGGGGGCGGCAACCCCTAGGATTTTTTTTGGTGGAAAAACACGTTCATTTTTTTAGATGGCCCCCTCTAGCGCTCAAGGGGGGGGGGGGGTTGCGGTTTTTTCAAATTTTCGAGGGCCGAAAAGAATTTAGTGCTCACTACCCCCTCCCCCTCCCACTGAGCCAATATCAAATTTTCGGGAGCAAAAACCCCCCAAAAAGAATTAGTGCTCACTACCCCCCTGCCCCCCCCCCCCCACTGAGCGAAATATTGACCGGAACGATTTTCAAATTTCAGCACACTAAATTTCAAATTTGCCCACCCCCCCCCCCCCCCCCTCCCTAAGAAATTCTGGATCCGCGCCTGAGGCGAAGTAGCACTGTTTCAATAGAATAAGTATTTATACACCCAACATCCTTGGTAAAAGTGTTCAATACCATGGTATATAGTTAGGAATCCTACCGACTTTGGACAATTTTGTGCTCGATATGGTAACGATTTATCCACATATTTATTTTCTTTTCATCAGCAGTGAACTAAGCAATTTATTTCTGGGAAACAAAAGACCAAGTTCGGTAACGACTAATACATTATTGATCATTTTAAAAAACATTGTGAGAAATATTTCATTACCTGGGCAAAGAACTTCCTTCTAGGATTGGACAACAATTATTCGTGCACCAACGGACACGATGGATACAAGCTTTCCCGACAGTTATAAAAGAGTGGAGGTAACCAGAGTGCCTATTTTCCCTTCCTCCATTTCCACTCTGTGAAGATCATCACGTCACATATAATGGAAAGTATGAGAAGTACGGTTCCGAATTATTTATATTTACGAGCTCTCTTTCATTATCATTCGATCTCCCTCTACATGTCTCTATCCTTGTTTCACCACTCCGCACAAATCTCTCTCTCTCTCTCCCTCCTGAACCCCTCTCTGTCTCTCTCTGTCTCTCTCTTTCTTTTGTATGTCTATCTCTCTCTGTTTCTGTCTGTCTGTCTTTATCTCCTCCCTTCTCCTAAATCCCTATTTTTCTCAATTTGTACTCTTTGTCACAGCTTGCAATCCAAATCAAAGCGAACACGGTGGGTCCTGTTACCATTTTTCCCTCGATGCGTCTGACTTCGAAACTTCAATAGCGTCATGTACCAGTCTTGGGATGCACTTGGTCTTCATCGGATCTCAGGACGAACAGGATTTCCTGATCGACAACGCCTTTGGCGACAAGTACTGGATAGGGTTATCCACAGTGACTTCGTTGGACAATGCAGCTACTTCAACATGGTTGGACGGCTCAAGCTTGACCTATATCAACTTCGCCAACTCATCATTGGCTTTTAATGCAGGAGGAGAGTGTTTCCGAATAGCAGGGCCAGATTTACAGTACAAATGGGCGGACAAGGGTTGTTCTGTAAAGGTCCATTATATCTGTGAAACAGAAAACGGTGAGTGCTGAGAAAGTTATATTTTATGATTCGGTATTGGACCTGATTTAGCTACTTTCAAAAACTTATAGGCCTACGCGAAACGTTAAATATAAGCGGTAAATATAATACATACCTACTCACACATGCATACACACACAGACACACACACACACCGACCTACATAAACGTGTATCCTCACGCGCGTGCACTCAATCACATAAACACACACGTATACACGCACACATGCCGCACACACGCGCACACGCAACCCCAACACACTCCCTCGCACACAATTATTTTATTCAATATCAAAACAATAAAAATAGTTCTTATGGAAAATTCATGAATTACGATCAAAGAAAAAATGAATGAAGACAGCACAAATATAAAACACACGCGCGCGCGCACACACACACACACACACACTAACACATTATCTATAAGTCTAATATTATAGTATTAATGACTGCTTTGAGACGCCTTGGGCAATAGCACAATTGTAACCTTCCCTTGAGCGTATAAAAACAACTATTTCTCGAATATTAAAGCAGTCATTAATACTTTTATATGCCGAAAAACAAAAAGTCAACTTATGACCCCACCTTGGCCTTTCTCTAGTTTATCTGCACGGTTGTTTTTTATGAGTGTATCTTTGAGAGTTACACTAGATTCTAGTCTAAGCAAGATATTTTTACAATTTTGGGGGTGGGCCGGCCCTGTGGGGAATATGGAGAAAAACCTGCGCTTTCATATGACACCTCACTTATTGAGTCTCACTGCACTTACGGATGCAAAGAGGATGTAAAACGTAAAAAAATCTTGCCATCCGTTGGAAAACGCTATACATCCGTTGTGTACTCATTGCATACGTGTTTCATACGCTATATCCATCGAGCATCCGTCCACTGTGATTTCATCCGCGCAAAAAGTTTTGAGCTGCACAAAACTTTAAGAACGGATGAACTTCCGCCGTGTACGATGTAAATCCGCGACAAATACGAGCAACACACGTTCTAAGTCCGTTATCATCCGTTAAACGTCCGCTGTATCCTCTCTGCATCCTCTGGGCATCCTCGCAACTCACACCTCACAAGGTACATGGAACGGGACTCTATACATCGTTAGTAGCACGGGAATAGAATGGATGAAAGCGTATGCATCTCGTATATAAAGTATTTAAAGCTGTCATCCACTTCCATCCGCTTTCATCCGCTAGGCTTCCGATGAACATCCGTTTAACATCCCGCTACATACTACCCACGTCCGTTATTTTCAGTTCTCTTATCGCAAATTTTCGCAAATTTTCGCAAATTTTGTCCATTTCTGGAGCGGATGAAAACGGATGGAGCCACCCTCGAAATTTTGCTCGTCCGCTGTGTCCTTTATGCATACGTTTTGTGTCCATCGGCCAGTGGGACCGGGCCATAAAGGTTTGAATTTCGAATTGAAAAAAAAAAACTTGACTTTTTTTGCATGGTCGCGCAATGCACGTAGACTGCATAGAGACTGCATTGCGTGCAATATCTATGGGAAGAGTTTTAGCACACAACATCGGGTGTGCGATCAGACACCCTAGACTACTAGATCTATTTTCGTCTACGTCTATGCTGGTACTCGTCAAAAGCATTTTACAGGAATAGTTAAAGTTTATGAATGCAATTTCGACCAATCAGATGGCTGGATTTCTTAAGTGAGGTATATAATTCTGAACATTGCCCCATCTTAATATTCCATCAACTATTTGGATATGATGAGTAACTCTGGTGATGATCTATAAACATTGCATGAACAACACATACAACTTAGAAACTTGCTCAAAAATAAATCTTCTAGTCCCTGCAACCAACTTTCATTAAGAAGGGGGAGATCTGAATGAAATTTGAACTTTTGATGAGCACAGAGCTCGATCTCCGGCCTTTACAGAGATCTCATATACTTTGGAAAAAATCAGAGATGTATGAGCCATAATACTCTATTCCTACAGGTATATCCAGTGAAGCAACCGAAGAAGTCATGGTTACTGAAGCCATGGTTACGGAAGTTCTCCCAAATGGTTCCTCCGGACCGTCGATGACAACAAACGATGAACACGACGTGTCCACAAGCATCGTATCATCGTCATCGACAACAACTACACCAGCGCAAGACCCAGCAACATCTACCTCTGCGACAGGGCAAGCCTCAGGGACTTTTGTAGATTCAACAGAGAGCACTTCTGCAACACCGGACCCGTCACCTGTACCCACTACCCAGTCAGTACCTACGACTGCAACCTTGTCACCTAGAGATAAAGGTAAACATATTGTCTAGATCACGCTTTAAAGGGATCCGGTAACTTTGTCTCAGATTCTGAAACAAAATTCTGGATTTAGCTCATGCTGCAATAATAATTGTAAACTGTTAGGTCAGTCAGGAATCCCATGACTTTTACAAGCCGATCGCCTGTCTGATTATCAAGATATTTATGATTGGAAATCGAAACCAAAGTTTGCGTTTGCCTAACGGTTTTCATAACACTACAGTCTATTGGGGAAAACGAGTATGGTAAAACCGGTCAATCAAAGATTTTTAAACTTTATTTAGGCACTTCTTGATCATTTTGAAGCGCAATTTTGTTAGGGCTTCAATATTACACCATATCACAGACACTGATAACACGTAGGGCCGTGCATCTCAGATTTAGCATTGTTAAACGATCCCTTTAAGTGGAAGAAAAAAAAACTTCCGTTTCAGTTATTCACTTTTAAAAGATGATTCATGTGCACTTCCTGAAAGGTTCTATTATTAATAATAGTAGTAATAATTTGGCGTCACCTTTGGCTGAGAGGCCGAAAAGCGAGCTGAATCATTGTAACCCTCGGGTCTCTCCTCCCGCTATAACTGATTGGGGGTTTGCAGGTGGAACACTACAACGGGGTTTCCCCCTACTTTTATAAGAATAGTGCAGTGGATTCTTGACGTGCAAAAGTGGTGACTCTCCTCTACACGGGGCCTCCATTTAACGTCCTATCCGAGGGACGGAGTGTTTTCCACTTAACATAGCCTGGGTCTATGAAATAACGGGAGGGGCACGTTAGCATTCAACGCAGGCTTCAGTTACCCACCTGGGTTGGATGCAAACCCGAGATCTTTGGTTCGACAGGCAGACGCTTTACCGACTGAGCCAACTCGCCTCCTCTATGTCCCATTTGCAGGCCAAAAAATGAAAAGGTTAATTCCAGCGGCATTTGAAAGATAATACTAATTTAGAACTTCCCTCAAAACGATAGGGCTTGAAAATTTCTTTTTGTGGGGGAATAACAACCATTAGTTGTCAAATCGCAAGTTTAGGGATTGCAATCATTTTAGTAAATTGTCCGATTTCAGACCCTTGTACCGAATGGTGTACGTTTTGTGCTGCGCAAAGATTAAATCACTTTAATTTTGGCCATTACAAGAAGTGGGTTATTGAAGTAGACAAATGCTCATGTACACTTTACAGCTCATTTTATGTATGTTATTACCAAGGAAAAAATAAAGTGAGTCAGTCACTCAATAGTGTCTGACAGTGGAGTCTAGAAATTAAACGGGTTTCCTTGCATAGTTTGAAAGCTAGCTAGGACACTGCTAACCTTTAAATTTCAAAGATAGGACATACGTGACATATTTATAATTCTTGCAAACTTCTACAGAATTCGATGTTGGCTGCAAATTGGACATAGCACCTTTACATATCATTTGATTTTGGAATGCCAGGTCCGTTGTTCTGTAGTGTATTCATACATTTCATGTTGTAAGTTGTTATATTGTCATTGCAGTTCTGAAGCGTACTTCCACAATCTTAAAGCTCTCGGTCAACAATGCAAGACTTCTCGATGCCTACGTGCATGCTTCATTCCGAGTCTCCTCTTTGATCAGTTGCACACAACACTGTTTTGCTGACGTCACTTGCTCTTGCGTCACCTACATTGCCCACGAGAGGGCATGCTTGCTTGGCGAGGAATGCCAGGGGGCATCTGGAGTCAGATATGATAAACGTCCTGGAGCTAAAACATATTTAAGGGCTTAAATTCATCAACTGACAATTCAGGATTGATTCGTCGACATGGTCAATAACAAAAATTATGAATAGCAAGCTGCAATTTACTGTAAAATTAACTGTAAAATACAGTCTTGACTAAGTCATTTTCCCCCAGAGATGGCGCTAGACCAGTTTTACATACAGATCCTATAGAGTTTTAATATAAACAATTACAAGGAGCTGTTTATACGAAAAGAGAGCTCTTTTAATTTGGTTTTGAGTCAGACCATTTTTGTTCCTTTTGTAGAAAAAAAGTAGAAACATATCAACATTTATTTTTAGATTGTCTTAAAGTTAAAAGATTATGGCAGGAGGTAATTCAAAAGTTACATTTAATCGAAACTGACATTGATTATTGGAAACCCTTTTTTATGGGAATATCCGGCAATACTGCTAGAATATTTGTAATAAATTGTATCATAATTTATTTCTAGTAAAGTATATCATTTTTATTTCTAGAAAAAAAGGAATTCTGACTCTGCCATCTGTACAAAAAGTAGTACATATGCTTAAAGATTACAGAGACGAGGAATACAAAGTAGCCTTCAAAAAGGGGAAACTGTAGATGCACTTACAGAAATGGGAACAAATCGATGCATTTTTACTTTAATGGATGTGGGTATTATTATTATTATTATTATTATTATTATCACTATTAATTCGCTCTCTTGTACAGGTGGACAAACCGGAACAGGTTGCATGCAGTGTGTGTGTCGGCGTGAAGGGGGTGTGAGGTGGTTGGGCTAGAGGGAGGGGGGGGGGGGTGAAGAGGTTTGTGTGGTGTGAGTTGAGGGTTTGTGAGTGTGTGATTGGGTTGGGCTAGGTAAAATTCATACCTTCCTCTATGGTTTTTTTGCTTATTAACTGTTACATGCAAGAACAGATGTACAAACATGTATGATCTGAGATTTTTCTATGTTCATTGTAATTCATTGTATCGTACGTAGATCTTGCTTTGTATTACATACTGTGATAATTCTTTGGTAATGTGAATTTTATGAGGAAGGAAATCTCCGGAACATGTTGAATGCAGTGTGTGTGTGTGTGTGTGTGTGCTGTATTTGTGTTTATGTGTGTGAAAGGGGGTGTGGTGTGGGTGGGCTAGAGGGGAGGGGGTGTCATGAGTTTGTTGGTGTGAGAATGTGTGACAGGATGGTACTATTAAACTTTAAACCTTCCTCTACTGTTATTTTGATTATACACTGTTACATGCAAGAAAAAATGTAGAATCATGTAGAATCTTAGATTTTGTCTATGTTCATTGATTGATGTTACTCATGAAGTGTCTAGCATCAAAGATCTTGTTTTATATTGATTATTTTGATAATTTCTTGTTATGTGAATTTCTTGTTATGTGAAATTATGAGGTAGGAAATAAAATATCATTTAAAAAAAATATATATATTAGTTTTCCAATATAGGATCTCTTTGCAGCTTTATGATGCTCAAGAGAACCGTAGAAACGTTCATAGAAATAATAATGGCTCGACAATCAATATCACCCCCCTCCCCAAAAAAAACAACAACAAACAAACAAAAACAAACATTATGAGCTGTATCGCTTAGCGCCATCTCTCGGGGAAACGACTTTGGGCAAGAAAGTATGTTTTGTATAAAATAGAATGGATATAAAGCATTATTTCTTTAGGCCATTTTAAGAATCAAATTGTAATATTTTCTCTCTGCTAAACGTTACACTGCTACAAATAATTTTGTGCAATAGAATACAAACAAAATTCTTTTAACACTTCACAATTCTAAATCTTTCGTAATTTATAAACTTGGAGTATAGTTCAAAATGCTGTATATAAAAACTGTGTCAGATTGTGCACTGAACTTAAGTTTAAGTTCAGTGAATGTGAGCTTTTGTTTTTAGTTTTTCACCGTACAAAACTAAATAATTCATGGATAATCTTGTTGAATACAACTTTACATAATATCTGTCAAGTCTATGTATTTAGTAAACAGTCATATTACCTAATGAAATTAAAAAAATATCTTTAAAATAGCATTTCTTTCTTGACGTAGATTGTAATCCTGATGCGGAATAAATCTTTACCGTTTGTCTTTAGAAAATCTCTTGTATTTATATGTACTCATTTCAAACATGATTATCACACAACTTTAAGAGGCTAAAATTTTGGATTGACGTAATCATTCAGTCGGCATTATTCTACACATCATTGAGAAAAGAAGGATTAGTGTTAAACATTGCACTTCCGTCGATTGTATCTAGAAAAGCCACTGTATTGTTAAATCTTTAGCCTTTGCACTGATTAAGGTGATGGGGAGAGAGAGAGAGAGAGAGAGAGAGAGAGAGAGAAATAGAGAGAGAGAGATAGAGAGAGAGTGAGAGAGAGAGAGTGTGTGTGTGAGAGAGAGAGAGATCCACGATATAAAACAAACAAACCCAAACGAGCTTATTAATTTCTAACTAATAGGCTATACTAAAATATTAAGCAACATTTATGTAAGTCCGTTTCGTCATGTTGACCACACTATAAGGCTCGCGCTCTGTAGGAATTTTGCCTCCTTCCTGCAGTGAAATTATATATTTCATAATAATAATTTTGTGTTTTTTGTATGAAATCAACGGATCGGGCGACAGAGCTTTATTACCATGTCACAATTTGGCATACGACATTCCTCTAATTCTTAGTTTGAGAAAGTCATTTTTTAAATGTAATTTTGTCTTTCCAACCCAGTGGCGGATCCAGGAATTTCTTACAAGGGGGGGGGGGGGGGGAGGGGCAGAAAATCGCATGGGGTGAAATATATGGAAAACGATGGAGCGAGGCGTCAGCGGCGAGCAAGCGTAGCGCCCAAGCGGGGGTGGGTCTTACAGGGGTCAGAACCCCTCCCATGCAAAGTAGGAAGCATTTGCAAGTTTAGAACCACATTCGGCGCATAAACGTCTACCGGCACTTTCTGGGAAAAAAACGAGGCCTTGTGATTGGTTGCTGCACAATGCACAAAAACGGTCGTCTGATTCTTCACCAGTAGTACAACAATTATCTCGAGTGTATAAACTGTGTTGTCATTCCATTATTCTTTTAAAAAAAAATGCAATTCCTTATGCTCTCGCACCTCTCTTCTATCGTTGTTTAAAGGTAAAGACCAGTTATGGTCATGCGATTGCATTGTGAAAGAAACGTTGTGGAATCGATCAGAAAAGGTTGATCATCTAGCATCTAGCATCTGCAAGGTTCTGGAATCATCAAAATGATAAGAAATTTGGCCCATTCTTCGTAAAGTTACAAGCACTATACACAGAAAGATGTATATGGGACTACCCTATATCTCTCAAAGACCATGAGAGAAACAAATCTACCAAATATGTGAATTAGTAGGCGGTTTCCCGGCAAATTTTTTATCATCATGTATTAGTCAAAACATATTCTTTCGCATGATTGGTAATGAGAGCTTCCATTTAATTTTTTGAAATTGGGGGTTTCCAATACTGGTCTTTACCTTTAATTGTCCTTCATTGTTTTCCTTTCTCCTTTACCTCACAAATATTCTCTCTTTCCCCTTTCCCCCTTGTTGATCTCTTTTTTGTTTGTTCTTCTTGTGCTTTTTTCGGGGGGGGGGGGGGGGGCGGGGGCTACACGCCTGGCAAGAGGGACCCCATATTATGTGTGTCGTAATTCTCAAATGAAAGTTAATTTTGAGTTTGCTTCTCGCTTAGTTTGATGGAAAATAAATAGGCCTCCTCTCAAATTGGCCCAAAACATCTTTATTTTCTTGTAAATAGCGATTAAAAAAAAAGACAACGGGTCCGGCTGGTTGTGCGTAATATAACCAGCATTTTTTGTGTGTGTGTCCCAAAATTTGAAAATTTGGCCGATCGATAATTTGTTTCGTGGGGGGGGGGGGGGGGGTCAGCTTTTTGGGGTTACCGATTACCACAATTTTTTAATTTTTTAATTGTTTTAATTATTTTTTTAATTTTAATTAAAACAAAAATTGAAGGGGGGGGGGGGGTTATCTCCAAAACACACACATACAAAAGTTTAAGAGGAATGGGGTTAACCCCCCTCCCTGCGTACGTGCCTGCGCCTAATAAATGTTGTGTATTATTATTATTTGATGTGTTTTGCTTTCCAATTTTCAAAAATGGCACCAGGGTGACCTACAACTTGTAATTTACCATACGTGGTATTTTTCCACTCCGCCAGTATGGCTTTGCAAACATGTTCAAACCGGTTTTGTCTTGTTTGTTAATATATTCAATTGTTACGTACATTGTCAATTAATGTGTACAGCGCGTATTAATTAATTATTGTTATTGATTTATTATGCGTAGTTCAACCAATCACGCTGATGTGGTGATTGGGCCATCAGGAACCAGGGAGATTGTGTTTGTATAGAGAGTTAACAACTAAATTATTCATACCCTTACCAAGTTTTGTAAATGTTAAAGCATTACACAAAATTGAATGTTCCGATGCATGTTTCTTGAGGATGTGACATATTAAAGGGATAGTTGAGTTCTTGATTAAGACCGCAAATGCCTTCAAAGTGCATGGTTATTGCTCTTATTCTTATATATGACATATCTAGTGCCCTTTTAGAACCTCAAATTGCTATAAAGGTAATTTTAGACCCCAAAATGTGTGATTCTTTAGTAAAAATACGATCATACCAATTCAGCTCCACTTTCAAAACAATACGGTGACCATTAGTTAATTAATTGTTATTAATTACAATACACGGACCGGCTAGTTCTGCGTATTATAACCAACACGAACAAGCCAACAGAAAGCCCATATTGGCATTGGCTGGAATAAACCGTATAAGGAGCTATCTCGTTTTTTCAACGGCTGGTTCAAAATTATCGAATTTGTTGTGGGGCCCCATAAATATTAGAAATGGTTATATATATGGATATTCAAGCCGCCTCTGAACCGATTTTGATCAAACAAAGATGATTTTGTCATCTTAATTGTATATTCTTTAAAATTTGACACTCAGCTTTTCATTATCTCACACAAAATATTTTGTGTAGCGCCTTCTGCAACAAAACTCAATTATCCCTTTAAAGCTTACACCTAAACGTATTCAGCAAAGTTCAGTTATTCAACGTACAGTCCACCTTTCATTCTTGACTTATGAAAACACAAGAAACTTCAAATTTATAAGGGTTATGAATATTTCAGTTGTTAATTGTAGGTACACAGAGACTGTTACTGCGCTATTGTATATTGTATGTGCCTGTTTAATATTTAATCTAAAGGTAACTCGATTGACTTTGCTTGCTGCTCGTCTTGCTATTCGCGAGTTTCATAATTTTACTCTTTTTATACCGTTATTTTGAGAGACTTGTTCATCGTCTTCATAGAAAACAGAGCAATATATTGATTTCTCATTGTGGATCATTGTTTTGACAACTTCAAGTTTCAACGGCAATTTTT